CCCTAACGTGTCCTCCTATATCCATAGAGTTTGTAAATTAAAGAAGTGGTTGGCAGATTGTGCACAGACCGATCATGCCAGAAATAAATGCGCGATTTCAGATTTGGGGATGACTGCAACGGTCCGCCGATACCGCATTACCGATCATGCCAGAAATAAATGCGATTTCAGATTTGGGGATGACTGCAGCGGTCTGCCGATACCGCATTACCGATCATGCCAGAAATAAATGCACGATTTCAGATTTGGGGATGACTGCAACGGTCCGCCGATACCGCATTACCGATCATGCCAGAAATAAATGCGATTTCAGATTTGGGGATGACTGCAGCGGTCTGCCGATACCGCATTACCGATCATGCCAGAAATAAATGCACGATTTCAGATTTGGGGATGACTGCAACGGTCCGCCGATACCGCACTACCGATCATGCCAGAAGTAAATGCACGAGTTCAGATTTGGGGATGACTGCAACGGTCCGTCGATACCGCATTTTTGCCATATCGTCCAAATTGAGTTTGAAGCGACAGATGAGGTAACAAGTTTTTTAAACTGTCAGCGCAAATGTGTGCTCGACACAGATAAAGCTGAATATATTTCATTTCAATGCTGCTGTGATGAGCAGTTTGATGGTGGGTGTTAGCTCCGTCAAAAAAAAACACCACGATCAATGATGCTGAATCTGCACCAGAAGTTATGCTGCGCGAAAATTTCCCCTATACTGCGAGAACAACCTCAGGGTAGGATGGTAGGATGGGCAAAAAAATCAGTTCTACTTCAAAAATTACTTTTTATGCGCTCATATCGGAAAACACTTTAGGCGAACGGTTCAGCAACATCTCTGCCTTGGCTGGCCTACATTTCGGATTGCTAACGTCTGTATCTGATGCGAGAAGGCACACTAGACCGATTAGAGGTGCAATGGGGTTTCTGAGAGAGGAGGAGCGTTGAATAAACGTTTCAAAGTACAGTATAATTAGGTAGATGAGAGTCGAGTGAATATTTCGAAAGCGTTGTTCGAAGTAACGCAACACAGATGCACACTTTTCAAATTGATTGCCTTGCACTGAATGAATAAACAGGCAAGCGTTGTTGAAGTAGGGGTACGCATGTGTATAATTCAATTTTTCATCATTTCTTGCCGCCTTCTTCCCTTGGGTTCATCTCAAATCGACTTTATCATACTTGAAAAGGCGTTCGCAACAACGAGCGCATATCGTCATTATAAAACGGTTCTCAAGTGGCTTCACGTCGATAGAAGCCATTGTTGACATATGTGTCAATGTTGACAAAACTTTCAACTGTTTAAAGACCTTTTTGGAGTTAAAAGCGTTTACGGAATGATCGCCAATCCATCCATAACAAAATTTTCCGGCTATATCGAAGCTGAACCAATTTCCACTTAAACCATCATCTGCTTATTATGAGCGTATGATACGAAAGCTGGCTACTGGAAGAATCAGCACGAATTGCTGCTGCTTGTTGTCTTTAGGAACGATTTTGAAAAGTGTAACAGAAAAAAATCTCAGAAACGTAGCATAACTACTGAACTTTAAGATAGGTCTTGAAAGTAGTCTTTAAAAAACGTACAGAATAATGATTTTTCGCAAATTATATAAATTGTTAAAAATTTTTTCTCTTACTCGTTTTGATGGGGAAGCTAATTGCATGTGTAATTCCGTGAGAAAAAAATCCGATGCGATGTAAAAACTTAACAGGAAAACGTCCTGCTATACGCTTCCGCCGTTACTTCTATCAAATTTCATAATTCATGTTTCAGTGATTTTCGATTGCAAATTGGCAGAAAATTAAAAAAAAAAAACAGGCTGATTGACGTTTTAATGAATGCGCACATGCAATTGGCGCTTTAAGCGAGATATATGCAAGCATTGCACTCGTCACATGTTCTATCTAAAATTTAGTACGCTAGCTCCTCATCTGCTAGGGAAGTAAGCGTATGCCGCCGACATGAGTACTTTTAGATCTCTGAATTTCATACGAAGTGCCGACTGAGTTACGGAAAAATTGAGGTAATTGTTAGCTTTGCAACACAAGCGTCGATGTGATCATTGGCGATGACGTTATTTGCCTGGTTGAAGTCCCGATTATATCCCTCCTCCTTCAGGCGCAAAGATCTAACAGGTTCGGTAAGCCGAAGAAAACAGGATGTGTGTCCATTTCTTCGTAACACTGAGAATTAACCGCATATGATTTTTGCGCCCAAACTACGGGTAATTTTAGTGCATGAAATTTGCGTTCTAATCTTTTGTGTTATTCATTATGAGCTTTTTCTTTGTTCAAAAGAACTCTGTGGCGAGCTGTTTATCTGCAACCATGTCCACATGTGTATGTTTGTCAGGTAGTTCAGCTCACTAGATAGAAAAGAATGGTGACGAAACGATAATTTGCAGCTTGCGAGGATGACCAAACAAAGTTCTGTTACGATTATTGAGTTTCTTGATGATTAAAGATTCAAGTAGAATAGCTGTGAAGAACGGATTGGGATAGGGGTTGAAGGGGGGATGGGGGAAAAAGTAGGAGTGAGTCGCAAGCCAGAAAAAAAAATGCCCTCAAATTTGACTTGTAGAAAAAAAAATCGATGTAATTTGATCGAAGAAGCTAGATTTCATATAATGCATACACGGCTTGATATGAGAAGCTTATGATGAATGAATGTGAACATTTTGAAGAGGTACGCGCCAGGATCGAGAGTAACTTCACCTCCTTAGACCGGCATACTGCGCGCGAACAAGAACTGAATGATCGTCGATCAGGCATGAACGTTTGTACGCAGTAGTATTTTTAATTCGATCTTTGATCATTTATCAGTTATCAGTAATCAGCTAAGGCAATTAAGAGTGGACTGCACAAAGAACATGCCTTGCCAGCCGTTAAGCGCCTTTTGAACTTCTTTTTACCGAAAACGTTTCAATATCAGAAAGAATATTGAATCAGTTTTTCTAAAGCGTTTATTTCAACCATCTATCGTTCAGTGTAACATTTTTGTGGTGTTGGTTACTATTTAGATCAAGAGAAAATTTTTTTAAAATGTTGGCCAACGAATGTTAATCAGCAACGTTCCACTTTCCAATTTAGTTGTAACTTGAGTATGATATTATGGATCAAACCTTCAGTGACCTACATTCTCCATTCCCTTCCCTTCCCCTCCTTGCATTGTAATTTCGATGACAGCATTCTGTGGGTAACATTTGTTTCACATTTAAATGAGCATTTGTGTCATGTCAAATTCGCCTGCGAGGAACTAGCTACTGCATCGTGCTACTGTAGCAGGTCGAGCAAGACGCATACATGATCCCACTGGAGGACGATACACAGTGACACAGCGACTCCGTCGAGTTGTGTTAAAAGCACAATTTGGCTTGGTAACTCTGAAACAGTTCCGAAATGCTCTGAGGCAGTCTCTCAATAAAACAGCGGCAGACCATCCCCACTCCCCTTCCCCCTCCCCCCTCCCTCGCGCTTCGCATTAACCATTCACTAACTGCCTAATTCAGCGTTAACAGCTAAAACTAATTTTTAGATAACGACGGCGCCACTGTACTGATAGGTGAAGCACGTGCAGAACAAGCTTAAACATCGACAGTTAACAGCATGCAGTGTGGTCACATCTTAAAAGTGATTTGTGCGTACAAAGGAACGTCTAACCGAACTATTAGCGCTCTATTCAGCAGATGATAGCTTTCGATTGTCCAAGGAACCATTTTTGTAGCCGTAAGGAAGTGCATAGCGAATATAAAAGCAGCAGGAATCTGAAAGTTTCATACCGTCGCTCGCTTTATTAACGTTCTCTACGAATTATCAGTCTTAATATTTTCATAACGCCAACAATCAGTATCAAACGAATTCACACTTACGATACACTTTGCAATAAGCGTACACATTCAGCGCAATTAGTGCCATCTTTGGTCGGAGAACGCAAGTGAGCAAATGTGTTTCAGAATAAAAATTAAACTGCTATTACTTGCAAAAGCAGACGCGGTTCCGTGTGACGATCTGTGCAATTCATCAATGTGCGAATTTCGTTTGTAAAAAAGTGAAACATTCTTTATGCGCATTGGGAATTTACTTCTTCTAATACGTATTGTAGCATGAAACGGCAACTGATTCTTCAATACCGCAATAATTTCCTTTTGGAATATCTCATAGATCATCATGAAGATATACGCGAAAGCTTCAGCATTACGAAGGCAGACAAGAAAAATAAAAGTGCGAATGACCTTTGGCGGTCTTGTCAATGAAAAATCCACAAAACGCCATTTGACAATTTCTCTTGTCAAACTTCTTTGATATTATCACGAGGAATTCACACCGAAAATCCCTACGCTTCCGACGGTTGTTTTCTTGGTTAGCAGATGGTTAAAAGAGAGCTTAACAAGCTTTAATTCTTCGAATTATGAACAATGCAAACAACATGCTTAAGTTCAATGCTCTTAATAGAACGTCATAAATAAGCAACACGAGACGAATCGTAGGCCAGAAATTAGTGAAATCAAGGAAAATTACCTTTGGAGTACGTAAGAGGTCGACGTTCTTATTCGTATGACAATTAAAATACCGAGGAAGAGGTGCACATTAGTAAGATTGGCTGAAGTTGATTCGATTTTTCCTTTGATTTGTCGGGTGCAGAACCGACAGGAAGGAAAATGTCAAGGGGTACTTGCGAGAATTCCACGTTGGAGAGACTCGCTCGGGATAGTCGAAATTCGTGAATAATACTAAATTATGACGACAGATTCAGACTATAGAGGTTCATATCAGTAAGACAGGCTCTGGTGGTTCATGTACAATGCAGGACCTCACATTTTGGTGTGGAATGCGGAGAACGAATAAGACTATTTGCAGAGATCAGATTTTTGTTTGACGAAGTTTTGATACTTCTTACCATCCTCCACCCCCTCCCCACCCCCACCACGACAGCACTGTGACAATGCGAACCGGGAAATGTTAGAATCTATGTTTGCATAGTAACTGTTTCGTCTTATGCTGTAGAAGTGCTTGCGTAAGAGCTGTTAAATCCTGCAGCAGATAGTATAATTTTCCTGAGGATTCTCCGATATCCACAATCGCGACTAGCGCTGCAATACCGTACCTCAACAATGCTTACCTCTAGCATCAGAAATACAGAGCAGATAACGGAAAGCATCCTATTGGTCGCATACAGCGACCGGCCGGGTCCCGTGGCAACCGAACTCCGTCTCTGTTCGACCGACGACCACTGATCGGCTGCACTGTTCGTAATGAAACTCCTTTTCCGGATTTCAGCCGCTTTTATCGTAGTCGATAACTTACATGTGAAAATCTGTCATTTAATAAGCAATTACTCGATGCTATAACATTTACTCGGAAAGGACCCAAAATCAAATCCCATTGTTTTGTCTTTTTCTCCCATCT